CTCCAAAATATATTTTAACAAAGTCAAATTTCACTATCCCTAAGTAAAATTTTATTGGAATGCTGTCATGTTCCTTTGTGTTTATTTTTTTTTTTAAACAGAGTCTCATTACATGGCCCTCAGTAGAGTGCTGTGGCGTCACAGCTCACAGCAACTTCAAACTCTTGGGCTTAAGCGATTCTCTTGCCTCAGCCTCCCAAGTAGCTGGGACTACAGGCGCCCACCACAACGCCCAGCTATTTTTGTTGTTGTTCTTGTTGCAGTTGTCATTGTTTAGCTGAACCCATCATCCTTGGTGCATGTGACTGGCGCTGTAACCACTGTGCTACAGGCGCTGAGCCTGCTTTAGTGTTTTCTACTTGCCATTGACGTTTTATAGTTTCACTACTATATATTTAGGGTTTATTTTTATATTTTGTGTCAAATATGAGGATTCATGTATTTCATCAATTCTAAAAATCCAGTCATTATTTTCAAACACTTCATTTATTCTTTTTGGAATTCCTGTAAGACAGATTTTTTTTTTTTATTCTGTCTTACATGTGTCTTAATTGTATTATGTATTTTCTCACTCTGTGTTGTCTTTCTAGATAATTTGTTCACAATCATTGTCCAGTTTATTCTCTTCCATCTTGTCTGTTTTAAACCCATCCAATTAGTTTAAATTTTAATAACCATATTTTCCATTTTTATTGTTTCTGTTCTTTTATATTGGTTAACCTGTTCTCTTCTCATGACTTTTATTCCTCTTTCTATACTTCTAATAATTATAAACATACTTGCTTTGTGGTCTCTTTCAGAGTCTATTATCTAAAGTTCTTGGTAACCCTCACACACAGTGTATGTTAGAATGCCATACCCATGTTGGTTAAGAATTTGGACTTCCCATAAGTTTTGTTTGTTTGTTTGTTTTCTTCCTAAAGTTTTGAGAGAGAAAGCTTATTTGTCATTTCTTTAGGCTGGTGGGTTTAATTTTTCTAGTCCTCCCACTCACCTCCTGCCCACCTTTCCCACTTTTCCAAAGTCTCAGTTGAATGCATGGTTTTAGTTTCGGTTCCATTGAAATGAGGCCTGTGATATCCCTGTTGAATGTTAAAACTTCCCCAGAGCCTGTATCAGATCCTATCTCTTCTTGAGCTGCTGCTAACAGCATCATTGCTACCTGGGTGGAGAATTTATCTTCCTTGCTCTCTTCCTTCTTTTCTTGTTTTTTTACCCCTACACTCAGCTTTTCAATTATGTTTCCTTATTTTGTTTTGTTCTGAGTTTTTATATACTTATATCATTAGTTTATATCATTATTCATAAACAAGATGTCTCATTCCAATTCTGCTTTTAAGTTAAAACCCAAACCAGCAATCACAATACTTATGGCTAGCTTTGACAGAAGTCATTATTAATTTCCCTGTCTTATCGTTTTCGCTGTTTTAAGATTATTAGCTAGTAGGTAATAAAATGATTTTCCCTGGCCAGACACAGTGGCTCATACCTATAATCCCAGCTACTTGGGAGGCTGAGGCAGCAGGATCACTTGAGGATAGCAGTTTTAGAACATCCTGGGCAACACAGCAAGACCCCAAGTCCGAATGTAAAATAAAATTTAAAAACGTAGTCAGGTGTGGTGGTGCTTGCCTGTAGTCCCTGCTTCTTAAGAGCCTGAAGTGGGAGGATCCTCTGAACCCAAGAGTTTAAGGCTGCAGTAAGCTGTGATCTCACTACTGTACTCCACCCTGGGCACCAGAGCAAGACCCTGTCTCTTTAAAAAAAAAAATGAATAAATAAAAATAAAATAAAATAGTTTTCCCTAAGAAGGAAGACAGGCAGGAAAGAATAGAGAGAAAAGCTAAGAAACAGACATACATTGGGGCATTGAGAGAGAGATGGAAATCATTTGTAAACTTATTTCTGCAAGCAGCATTTCTCAAAGTGTCTTTCTGGAGTATTAGACTCTTCACTATTATTATTGTTAGACATTCTGTTTAGAAAGGGTGTGGGAAAGGCTGAGTTATACAAAGAAAACAGGGCACTTTGTTACGGAACTTTTCAAAGACTTTACTGGGCATAGTGACCCACCAGGAAAGCCATGGGAAGCACTTCTTACATTTATTTGACCACAGAACATTTTTGGTCTCAAAATATCTCTTAAGTCTGCTGTCCTTCAGGACTCTAGTTTGGGGAACTCCATTTGGAACACAAGCAGCAGCTGCCAATATTTCCCCTGAAGCTCTTGACCACATGCCATGGTGGCCAATTAAATATAAGAGTTCACTGAATCCATTAATTATTCCTTTCAATATTTTTCAGTCCCATTGTCAGAATATTTTAAAGTGGTTTTGATGGAAACAAAGAATTCAGTTGTAGAAATTTCTAGACAGGCCAATTCTCGGAAACTTCATTTTCCTGTAGAGAAACATGTCAGCTGCTTTATAGTGACAGTTGTCACAGATTCTACCCAGGGGAAAATGCGTCTCTCCAGTGCTCCCATACCACATTCACCACGACTGTATGGAAATTGAATTAATGCTCAGTTTTATGTGTACTGGAACCAGAGTAATTTGCCACATCAGATTAACAGTGGACTATTTTCTCTCTTTTTCGGACAGGCTAAAAATGTCAGTACTTACTTCTCCAAGAGGAAAGGCAGAAATTGTTCACTGCCGAAGAACAGAATCACATGATATTTATTGTATTAAAAGCCTCATTAGAAAATTTACCCAGAAGCTGTTTGGGAGGATTAATATCATCTATCTTCTGTAAGTACATAGCTGAGTAAGCTCAAGAATGTTTATCAGCTTCATGACATGCCAGACATAGATCCCACTCCTTTGTCCTTGTGGTTCCCATGACAAGGAAGTGGGCAGCTCCCTGCACAGTGACAAAACGTGTAGCATGAAATCTCTGGAAACTGTGTCCTTGAACAACATGTAAACTGGAAAGGTTTCTCATGGGTTTTGGGTTCCAGCAAACTTGGGATCAAATCTCAACTTGGGGCATGGTGTTGGCTACCAGATTTTGAGAGTCAGACTCTGTACCTTGCCAACATTATTTCATTTAATTATCTTGCCACCTCTCTGAAGTAGCTACAGTTGTGCCCATTTCACAGATGAGAAGAGGAGGCCGGCCCACAGCCAAGCAGTGAGAGGCCAAGTGTGGATTTGCTCTTAAACATTGCCATTAAAATTGTCTTCTAAACTTTAAAATGTGCATAAATTATTTTCTTAAAACATCTTTTTTCTCTCTGTTTATAGACTTTCTGTAGACATCAGAATGTAAATACCTTTTAATCTGTCCTCGTGTTTTTTTTGGACATAGGTTCTTGCTCTATTATCCGGGGTGAAGTGTAGTGATGCAATCATAGCTCACTGCAGTCTTGAACTCCTGGGTTCAGTGATCCACCCTTCTCAGCCTCTGGAGTAGCTGAGACTACTGGCACATGCCACCATGACCAGAAAAATTTTTTTTCATTTTTTTAGAGATGGTGGGGGTGGGGCATCTTGCTATATTGTCCATGCTGGTCTCAAGCTCCTGGCCTGGAGCAATCCTCCCAAGTCTCTGGGATTTCAGGTGTGAGCCACTGTACCCAGCCTGTTCCTCATTATTTTTATTAAAAATATGAGATAGGGCTCGGCACCTGTGACTCAAGCAGCTAAGGCGCCAGCCACATACACCTAAGGTGGCGGGTTCGAATCCAGCCTGGGCCCGCCAAACAACAATGATGGCTGCAACCAAAAAATGGCCAGGCATTGTGGCGGGCGCCTGTAGTCCCAGCTACTTGGGAGGCTGAGGCAGGAGACTCGCTTGAGCCCAGGAGGAGTTGGAGGTTGCTGTGAGCTGTGATGCCATGGCACTCTACCCAGGGGGATAGCTTGAGGCTCCTGTCTCCAAAAAAAAAAAAAATATGAGATAGTTTAGTATTTTGGATTTCAAAAAGCTTCATATCAAATACAATTAAAATATTAGTAAACTGAGACCAACCTAAGACATTACAGTCTGTAGTTGCTGCTTACCAAGCTGCTAAGTATGATATAAATGAGCACAATTTTAGTGGAAGGAAGTAGCAAAGTATATATAAAATGCTTTAAAAATTTATATACCAGAGAACCCTCAGAAAACTCAAGCTAGACCTCTCATTTGACCCTGCAATCCCATTACCGGGCATCTACCCAGAAGGAAAAAAATTCTTTTATTGTAAGGACACATGCAGTAGACTGTTTATTGCAGCTCAATTTACAATCGCCAAAATGTGGAAACAGCCTAAATGCCCACCAACCTGAGAATGGATTAACAAGCTGTGGTATATGTATACAATGGAATACTATTCAGCCATTGAAAAAATGGAGACTTTACAGCCTTTGTATTAACTTGGATGGAAGTGGAACACATTATTCTTAGTAAAGCATCACAAGAATGGAGAAGCATGAATCCTATATCCTTCATATCCCAAGTTTGATATGAAGACAATTAATGACAATGATATGGTGGGGGAATGGGAGAGCAGAGAGAGAAAGGAGGGTGGGGTGGGGGAAGGGGAGAGCAAAGAGAGAGAAGGAGAGAGGGGGTGGGGTCTTAGTGTGTGACACACTTTTCCGGGACAAGACACAATTATAAGAGGGACTTTGCCTAACAAATGCAATCAGTGTAACCTGGTTTCTTGTACCCGCAATTAATCCCCAACAATTAAAAAAAAAGAGGTAAAAAAAATTATATACCAAAGAAATGATTCCAAGTTTTGGCTTATAGTGGACTAAATACCTTAATGATGTCCACTGGATGGGAACAACTGAAATGTTGACATTCACATACACACAAACATAAAAGCTAAGTACTGTACAGAAAACATTATCACATTGAAATCAGAAACCTTATGAGAAGTAGAAACCAGTACCAGCATTCTTCTTGAAGATTTTTGCCACATTCTAGAAACTTCATGTTTCCATTTTGACAGCTTTGCAAAGAACAGTAGATAACTACTCCCTCCACCTAAGGAGGAAATATCCCTTTGTATAAATCAGGGATCTAACCTGTATGGATGAACAAATAAACCCACTAAATAAAAATGGACAGCCTGGAGTGGAGAGGGATACAGTCTCTTCTGAGAATTCATGAGCACATGTTGATTTGAGATCCATGTTAATTATTTGTGTGGTCCCCTAAAACATCAAGTGGAGAATTTAATTAAAAATGGCCACAGGTTAACAGTGTGTCAAGAGACTGGCTGAAATAAATGCAGATCAGCTCTGAAGGGAAATAGCTTCAGATCAGACTTCCAGTAATACCTACAGATGAATTTCTAGGGAACATGAGCTCACAGTCAAAAATAATAAATACACAAGGAAATGTGTATCATTAGTGGAAACCAGTAAAAACAAAACTCTCAAAGATTTTAAATATTAAGTTATACAAAAAATATAACATAACTATGTTTACTAAACAAAAAGGTAAGTTTAACAAGATGGTCCAAGATTAAAAAGATCATAAAAGTGAATAATCAGGTTTGAACAAAAGTAAAATAAACCATCTAGAAATGAAAATATAATTGATGTTAAAAGCAGCTGATGAATTATACATCATTATAGACACAGTTGAAGACATAAGTAATGAGCTAGAGGATCAATGCCAATAAATTATCTAGAATTGAGCACAAAGAGGAACAAAAGATAAGAATAGAACATGGGGCCTGTTCTCCTTAGACTTCTAGAAGGAGGTAACAGGAAGGCAGAGTTAATATTTGAAGAGAGAATGGCTGAGAATTTTTCAGAATTGTTGGGAAGCCCCAATTCTTAGATCCAGAAAACTCATTGAATCCCAAACAGGATAAATACATAATTAAATCTGCAACTAAATGCATTGCAATGAAAAAGAAAAATATCACAGCTAAAAAGATCTGAAAATTAATCAGAGAAAAGGCAAATTATCTGCAAAGAACTAATGCTAGCCATAATGATAGCCAGAAGACAGTAGAATACCTTCAGGATTGTAGAGAAAGTAATGATTTAGAATTATATATTCAGCAAAACAATTTTTCAGGACCTATGGGGAAATAAGTGCATTTTCTGCCCAAACTGAGATAGTTTATCTCTGGACTCTGCATAAAGGAAATCCTTGAGAATACACTCTCAAAGAAGGAAAAATATCTCAGCTAGAAAGCTCAAAACACAAGAAGGAATGTAAAAAAAAATATATATATATGGGCAAAAATGGGGATAGATCTAAGAAAAAATATGACTTGTATAAGACAATAATTATAACTAATTTGTGAAATATAGATCATATGTTAAAGCTAAAATGTAGGACAAATACAACATATAAATTGGGGGAAGCATGACCAGAATGGCAGTAATCTTCAGTTTTTATTTAAGAGGAGAATGTGGGCTCGGCGCCTATAGCTCAACAGGCTAAGGCGCCAGCCATGTACACCTAAGGTGGCGGGTTCGAATCCCCAGCCCGGACCCGCCAAACAACAATGACGGCTGCAACCAAAAAATAGCCGGGCTTTGTGGCGGGCGCCTGTGGTCCCAGCTACTTGGGAGGCGGAGGCAGGAGACTCGCTTGAGCCCAGGAGTTGGAGGTTGCTGTGAGCTGTAATGCCAGGGCCCTCTACCCAGGGGGACAGCTTGAGGCTCTGTCTCAAAAAAAAAAAAAAAAATTTAAGAGGAGAATGTGATAGGTAGCATGTGAAGAGGTTTCCCTTCCCTCCCTCTGGTGAACCCTTGTTGAGTCCCTTATTTAGGTACTGATCACTCCCTTCTCACACTGAATTAGGGCTGGCCCTTTAAACAAAGGAAAAGCAGCAGGAGTGATACTCTATAATTTCAAGTTGTAAGAAGTCTTACAACTTCCATTGGGTCTCTTGAAATGCATCCTCTCAGAACCTTATTGATAAAAGCTCAAATCAGATGACCACATGCAGGTGCTTCATCCCACTGCCTGGGCTGAGCTCCCAGCCAATAACCACCATCAGCTGCAATGCATGTGATTGAGCCGTTTAGACGTTGAGTCTTCAGGTGACTTTGTAGCCACAGTTTGACTACCGTCACATAAGAGATCCCACACAAAAACTGCCCAGTCAAACCCAGTCAACTCATGCAATTGTGAAAGATGATAAGTTGTTGCTTTAAGCCTCCAAGCTTTAGGATGGTTTATTACATCAGCTGATAACTGAAACAGAAAGTGAAAACTTTGTTAGGAATTTATGTTAACATGGGTAAGGGAATCATTAAAAAAATAAAGAGATTAAAGCTTCTGATCTATAGAGGGAAAATGGCATGAGAAATCAAAAACAAACCCTGAATCTAAAAAAGGGCAAGAAAGGGGGAAGAAAAAAAGAAATAAAAAACAAGGGATGTATTAAAATCACATAAGAAGAGGATAGAAAAAGTTCAACTATATCAGTAATCTTAATTGCTTTTGGACAAAATTCTTCAGTTAAAAGATGAAGATCAACAGATTGGCTCAAAACAAAACAAAACACAATCATATTTTATTTATGAAACATACCTAAAATATAACGTCACAGAAATATTTAAAGCCAAAGTATTGGGAAAAAAGATAAGACAACCAAAATATCATCCAGAAAAAGCGGAGGAGGCTGGTTTTCTATAACATTAGCAGACGTCATAGACTTTAGGGCAAAAACCATCACTACAGATAAAGAGGGTCACTATGTAAGATACAATGTTTAGTTCTTGATGAGGGAGTTGTGACAGCTTTAAATTTATATGCTCCTCCTAACACAGTCCCAAAATATATAAAG